TGTGGACTCCAGGGAATTGTATTTTCAAGGAAGGCTCCTGTCTTCTGGGATATTGGACATGTCTGTGTGTCTGCAGGACTTCTCTGCTTGATGGTGCGGGCGTAGCCAACTTCAGGTTGAGGCAGAAGTGCTGTCGCAGTGGGCAGCCGTGGAGATGAGCGAGGACTGAGCGCGTGGGGGGGTTACAGTCCCTGATGAGCTCTCCACTGCGTGGGTTACATTGTGTGGCTGCCAAGGGTACCAGTCACTTATGAGGACTCGGGTATTGGTGGCTGCTGTGGTGGGAGTGTAAACCTGACCTAAAGGTGATCCTTTCTGCTGACATTTCTAATCTGTTGATCTGTCGATGAGGTGAAAGCTCTGTATGGATCTGTCAGGCCTCGTCTTCAGTGGCAGAGAGATGTTCTTCTTGTATCTCCATAACTTCTTGACATAGATTCTAGAAAAGATTGAATGTAAAAGGTTCAGTTTAGCTCCAGTTATAACGAATGCAGTACTGGTTATATGGGGTTTTCTCAACCACTTGCACAGTAAGGTAGAACCTACAAAGCCTTGTCTTTACTGGGGAGTGATAATAAGGGCACTTGCTGAATGTGGTGCTCTGGACAAACTTCATCTTTTGGAATGAAGACAAAAATATCGAAATGTATACAAGTAGAATCCAAAGCAGAAAGAACAAAAAGGCAAGGTAGAGTTTGTTCCATAGCTACTCTGGGACTGCATAATCTTACTGAGACAAAAATGTTGTTTTGGAAAGGACGGTGACAAACCACAGAAGTAATTGACATAAGGTCAAGTAGTGATTTCCCATCACCATTTTCTAGATAACAGTTGCTGACACACATGTTGTTGTGACTTCTATAAATCATTTTTGAGTTTAGCCTGTCCTAGTCATGAGTAAGTTGAGGCTGCAAAAAAGCCTGCACCATTCCTTTCCCTTAATCTTCTCTTTCCTCTTCACTCACACTCTTATTTGGCAAACCACTGCTGTAAACATAGTGTCATCTCTACACGTTTTATAGAGTGCAAGATGCTAACACATCAACAGGCAGTTTTATAGGAGAGTATGATTTCAATACAGTACAGTGGCATTGGCAGCTTCTCAGACTGGCACTTGATAGTTTAATGCAGCTTTTCTCACTTTTTTTTTTATTACTTAATGAAAAGATGCCCTAACAAAATTTATTTATTTGAATGCCATCAAAATGCTTTTTATTTACAGCATTTTCGTGAGTTTATAAACACCATCGTATGAAAACCTATCTTGCATTTATCTCAGTAGATGATGGTATCCAGCTTTATTGTTCTATTTCCCGGGTGTTTCTACCTTTGTGTGTGGGCCAGGTGCTGGAAAAACAAGTACAAAACAGGTTCTTGCCCTGTTATGCATCCTGAGCAGGAGAGGAATAGTCAGGAAGGGAGTTCACAGCTAAGCAGCTACATACATCTGCTCAGAGCAGCTGCAATAATTTTGTTACTGTTTTTGCTTTTTCATACATACCTCACCTATGAAATTTTGAACAGATAAATCTTTTTCATGAGACAATGGGAGGGCACTGTGTGTTAAGCTGAAGTCTATGACCCCTGCCATTTTACGAGTCAAAAGTGACAAGAAACCTCTTGCCTCACTTAATAACATGATTAATCACAACAGTGATTTACCAATTTCATATGTCTTTATCTACATCAAGGTTCCCTGTAGGAACACGTGCTGTATTGGTTAGTGAGAAATGTAGTGCAGACACTGGACAGAAATGCAGTTTCCAACCAGAATTCATTCCACCTAAAAATGGATTTTAGGGCAGTGTACTTCCAGGTGTGCAGACCATCCAGAAGACAGACATGATGTGCACTTGTCTAATCTTGTGCAGATGCATCTAGAGAGCTTGGAATAGAACCCACATCACCCAGGTCCCCCTTCAGTTTGACTCTCATGTAGACTCTGTATGGCCTTCAGTCTTCAGGTGTTTATTTAATGGAGTTCTGCAACTGGAATAAAATCCACCAAAATTGGTAGGTGGGGAGAATTTTGATGACTTTGCTGACATCTCCATTATATCCTAAACCTCTAGGTATGTGGGGTTTGATTAATTTTGCCTAACTTTAAGTCTGCACGGCAGTGGATGCTCATAGCACGTTGTTCATCGGATCTGGTTTAGATGGTTGCTTGGGGATGATACAACTCGTGCTATGACAGCAGCTTGGTTAAAATAAGGTCTAGAAAACTACTTCAGATTGGTAAAAGGAATCTCATCCCAAGTGCTAATTGTCACCTCTAGAGTCTCCTGAACAGTTCTCCATAGGGAGTCCTTGTATGCTCACAAAAATCCTGGCATGTATTTTAGGTACTTAGCACCTTTGTGTTTTGCATATGGGTAAGGAGGTGAGCAAACTCCACTTAAATCTCCTGAGAGTCTCAATCCATTAATTGTGATCTTGATTTCACATATTACAGACAGCCTACACAAGCACAACTATCATAATTTTCCTTTTTAAAAAGTGCTGTTCGAGAGAGCATTGGAGCTTAGCTTACACACTCTGGATACTCTGGTGGTGGCAAGTGAGCAATTTTTAAGGTTTATAATACTTTGTTTTTTCATCTCAAATAGAGACTTATTAATATGGTACAGGTGGGAAATACACTGAGTCAAATACACCACTGCATCTATTTGTCTCGTTCCACTTGGTTGCCTCAAGTCTTTCTCTTCAGGACAGAAAAATTGCAGTAGTAATTCTAAGAAAAACTATTGTTGAAAATTATGGGAAAGGAGTAAATCTATAAGGAATAGGAACCAGTGCCTAGTGCTACAAGGTTTATTAAAGTGTATCTGTTATCTTAAATTTTTACATAATAATAAGACCTAAGAATATCTCCTTGCTTTAAAGAGAAGGCAGACCATTAGTCTTGTTACTTAGCAGTCTTGAGGACTAGCTCCATGTGAATAATAGTAGTTTAGTATTAGTTTCTAAGTAATACCATGTTTGTTTATAAGGAGCCCTTTAAACCTTCAGAAGTTTGAGATTCCAAAAAGCTAATTTTTAATGTCCTCATCTTGCCCTTTTCCTAAGTGATTTCAGGAGTATTCATAAAAAATTTTAATTTAGTCATTATTGGCTAGACGTGTGGGGTGTTTTGCTGAATATTGGATGAATGTTGGTGAACATGTCCATATGCATGTGCTTTCCCCCACACAGTTAGTACATTTGAATTAGTGATGATATGTGCAAACCATTGTCCTCTGTACAAAGAGAACTCAAAGCCTAGATGAGTGGAATGGTTTTCTAGAAAAGCAGCCTATTTTAATCCAATTAGTGTATCTTGTTGTTCCTATGGTTATACAAATATATTGCACCTTTACCTTAAACAATGCCCTGCACAAAGTGATGTTGAGATTTGATCACTCACAGCACCTAAGCACTATTAAGTGATCATTATTTATCATGGAGTATAATGTGTTTTATTGATGTGTGTGGTGTGGTAGGTGTACATGTGTCTTCCTTATAATGTGCAGGCCCAGTATTAGCCAGTGAGAACAATGTATTACGTAAAAAGTAAGAGGAATCTATTAAAAATGCCTACTGTATTATCCAAAGGAATTAGCATTTGCTAGATTGCCAGTCAGCCAAGGTTTCACAAGAGTTATTGTCATTTTGATTTTCGGATGAGTCATTTGGTATATTGCCCCCAAAGGCACCTCATTATGATTCAGTGCACAGCACATAAAATTGCTTAGGCTTTCGGGGCTCCATGGAAAGCGAGTGGGGGTTGCGGTGGCTCAGCGTTGTGAAGCAGCAGCATTATGCTTAATTGACACCTTTGATGTAGCCCTAAGACAGCACCTGCACCTCCCACTGCTGCTCTGAAGACGTCAGCCTTACGCAGAAAAGGCTTCTGCTTATGAATCCTGCATCGCATTCAGCTCACTCTGTGAGCAGCCCCAGCTATCCTTAACTAATCCCATTGCTTCTCAGTTTGGCTACAGCTTGGCTTAGTAGAGAGCAGGAATTTTGCTGCTTGCTATTGTCACGTTAAACAGTAAGATTTTGTCCATGTTAGAACTCATAGAAGGTAAGTCGAATGCCTTGTTGATACCCTAATATGTAAATATTCTCCTAAGATTCAGAATCTGGGAATCTGATTGTCGATTCTGTTTTTCCTGGTGCTGACAAATGTGGACTGTGATATAACAGTTGCTTGTTTAAGAATATCTACATATATATGTGATACACGCTTTGTAATGTTTCTATCAGTGCTTCAGTGTGAACATTATTGATAGCCTCTCGTGTGATTACTTTGTAGTAGAATTCTGTCCTCTGCTGGTATTGTTTTGTTAATTTAATGGATAATGTCACATGCATGCAAAAGATGCTTCTAAAATGATAGGCACTGATATGTATGAAGGAACTTGCTTACTTGAGAAAGGGATGCTTTGCTGTAAGTCAGACTTGAGGTGTTACATCCAATTTATTTGCCTCTGGAAAGCCCTTCTGGGTTAAGTCTGAGTTGATGTTTGGGTCAGATAGTATTGGAAAAATCTCTTCAGATGTATGAGTAAGAAACAGCAAGCAGCTGATTTTTTCTTGCAGTAAATACTGCTTTTTATTTTTGATGGGTAGAACTTCAAGCCATAACTAAATGGAATTAAAAGGTTTACATATGGCAAGTGTCTGTTAAGGTTAACAAAGCACCTTGCTCTCCATCACTTTCAAGCACAAGAACAATACAGTTTAAGATAAACATGGTCTTGTTCTCTGCCATTGACTAAACAGTCTTTTTGGGTTTGTTGATTATTTGCCTAAACTTTGTGTAAAAATTGGCTTCATGGGCCAAAACTCTGAGGAAACAATTCTTCTGTGAATTGCCTCATTTAATTTTTAAAAGATGGAGTAAAACCAAATTAATCTATTCAATGAAGAATTAAAAGAAATATGTTTATTTAACTATTCATTGGCTTTTAATAATGCCTTGTGTTTATTTTTTCGATTTATTGTCCTTTTAGTGAATGGAACCCCTGGTAGCCAGCTTTCTACTCCCCGCTCTGGGAAGTCTCCAAGCCCATCTCCCACCAGCCCAGGAAGCCTACGGAAACAGAGGGTAAGGAAATAAGGAAACTGATTTCTGAGCATGGCTGGGCAGAATCCAGCATAGCCATTATCCGATAACCTTCTCCCCACTGATTCCTTGTGTGTAGAGTCATAGGGTGAAAGAGCCTGGATACAGTCCTTGCTGTGTTTGTACAGCACTCTGAAGTGGAACACAACTGTTCTGTGTCTGTCAGAATGCTAAGTATGCTGGGAATTGGTTTATCCTTGAGGGGAAAAATAGGGGTATCTTTCTCCTTTTTTACAAAAGTTTTTTGTTTGTTTGTTTTAGTTTCTTTTTCCAAACATTTCACAACTGGAAGGAGATGTTCACCTTGTCAAAGACTGTTTTGGTCTTATTATTTTTTTTTTTTTTTAATTTACCACGGGCATTGTATCACTTGCAAAAGCTACAAACAGCTTTGATTTTGAAGCAAGGTGAAAGAATGCACTGTGGGATTTATCTGAGGATTAGCTGTGATATCATAGCCTTGTGTAGTGAAGATACTATCAGTACCAAGGCAGCATGAGACTTGTCAGTCACTTTGCTGGACCAGAGTTGTTAGTAGCTGTAGGTTCCCCCTTGTTATCATGTATAGAGGAATCTACAATCTACCTAAGCATCCAGAATTAACATAGTACCTATGTTACTGCTATAACCCTCTGACAAAATATTACAGGCTTCACATGCTGATTAAATTAATTGTATCTGTTCAAAAGCAATGGGACAGATGTCTACATATCTTCTCTTCTGCTATTTTCTAAACTGTGATCAGTTCTCAATGAAAGCTTCCCTAAGGCAGTACTCTGTATTTCAGACTTGTTTATAAACACAGTTTGAACACATGCTTTTCCATTTTTTAAAGAAAGGCATAATTTGTGTGTCTCTAAGTAAGAGGATTATGTCCAAAATTGGCAGTGCTTGACTTTAGGGGCTGGTGCAGACCTGGTTCTGCAGATATCCCGATCAGGAATCGCTGTAGCATGGCACGAGTCCCTTCTAGCCTGTGTACCCTTCTTCATGTCCGGTGGACACCAGGGAACTGAGGAATTGTGCATGCCCAGGTCTTCCCTCGGGCTGGGGTACAGCCATGGGTTTCTGCCGTGACTTGTTTATAGATACAGAAGCCAACTGTGATCTTGCAGTGCAGAGATAGCGAGCGAGCAGCGACTTGAAGCCTCAGGGTAGTGTCATGGTTTTCATCATCTGGTATGCAGAGAGTAAAGATGCAAGTTTCAGTTGGGTGAGCTGGCACTGAAATCTTCTTGAATGCAGTGTCTTCCACACCTGTTTGTTCTTACTCTTAAAGCGTATTAATGAATCATTAATAAGTCACTGAAGAGGGAACAAAGTGTCTTCCAAACAAATTATACATTTGTGAGGTAAGAGTGTCTGTTTAGATGGATGATATCAGTACTATACAGTGGATTTTCATTTGCTGTAAGGCTGTCTCTTTTCACTGGTAACTTTACTATTCCTTCCTCACCACTGATGCTCCTCTCTCCACAGCAAAGAAATGTTTTTCCCTTAAGGTTTGTGGATGGGTGAGTGGGAACCGTGTGGTCAGTACCAGTAGACACAAGAGTTTTTGGCCACAAGGTTTCGGACTTTCAAATGCGTGGAGGAGAGCAGATGGGCTTCTTCTTACCCGGGTTCCCTATGTGAAAGTAACAGGATCACCAAGTGGAAGTATTATGGGTGCAAAGGGCTGTGTAGCGGTAATGTAATCACATTGCTAACTGTATAGGAAATAAATATTGAAGTAAACTGCAGGAGAGATAAGACATTGTTAAAGAGTTGAATTCTCTTCTCAGATATTCATATCCAGTGCCCTTGGCCTCAGTAGGGGACCTTTTGTGCTTGTCTGACTTTATTTTAGACAGATCTCTTTTTCTTTACCCAAATAAACATGGAATACATTCATGTAAAAATAGATTGCAATCATGTAAAAATGCATTGCAATAATATTATTTAGGTTACAAAATCAACGGCTCAGAAGTTCGGGGATGGAAACTTTACACTTTCTCTGAGAATTTGTTTCAGCTCCTTTCATGTTTAACTTTTGAAGAGAATGAGCTAGAAGTTCAGTGTAAAAACATATGATTGTGTCGTTATAGGTCATAATGTGTATTCCAGTAACTAAATTAGTTCCATGAATAGCCATTAAACAGTGGTTACTAATCTTAATTTTCTTGTTAGCAGTATAAATGGTGTTCTGTTTTGGTTTAGTACCATCTTTTGTATGTTGCCATTTAAATTTTATTTAGAGAAGAGGTTATTTTATGTACCATATTGTCATAAACCAAAGTTGAACCCAGAGCGTTTCGCTTTATATTCAGTGGCTTCAGCAACAGCGTTGACAAGCCAGCAGCAGGAGAAGGTTTATTCCCTAGGAATTTGTTGAAGTGTTGGTCTCATGTGATAGACCTACAAGAGACAAGAGGAGACCGCTTGCAGTGCCTGCTTTGTCCCCAGTGTTGAGAGGTGAGGTATTCCTGCCCCAAAAGAAGAGCTTTGGCTGCTAGAGCCATGGCCTGGAGTTGAAGGCGATGGCTGGGGTTCTGACTGGCCTGCGTTTCCCCCTTCACATGGACTTTGAGAGAGCTGCTGCCTTAGAATTGAAATCGGTTGCTGGGTCCTGGGAATGCCAGCTCAGCTGTGTTACTTGTTTTCTTTCTCTCTGGGTGCGGTTAGAGTTAGAGGGGTGCCTGTTCCCTTGTGCCATCAGGTACATGGGATGCCAGTAGTATGTGCTGGGTCTGGAAGGCGACAGGGGACGCTGGCTCCAGCGTAGCCTGGTTCCCCCTGATGTAACTAATCAGTCAGCTCTTCAGCATCCCCGTCTGAGTGCTATGAGGGAGCTGTAGGCTTGCTATGTCAAAACGCTGCAGGGTCTGGGCAGGCTGCCAGTGTTTTTCCTGGGAAGTACAGGTGAGGGGAAGTCATGCTTTTCAGTTCAGAGGCACAGAAGCAAGTTACGTCCACAAACTGAGGGATTTCTCCCTGTGAATAGTAAAGACCTGTAAAAATGGTAGAGATGGTAGAATTTTCATTAATAAATAAAAGGATCCTTGTAACTATGGACTGCATTAGGCAACTTAAAATAGGCATCAATCATCCTACTGACATTTCATCACTCACTTTTTAAAAAAAAAATAAATTCCTGGCCTTTGATGGAAGGCTTTCCATCAATGTAAATAAAACCAAAAATGCTGCTGTGCTGCATACTCAGGAAAACTGTACTCTTATAACCCTACAGATAAAATTTTGTACCCTCAAAATCCAGAACATAAAAAGATAAAGTTTTATCCTTTCTCTTTTGCATATGTATGTGTCTGAGTTGTTTCCAGAAATTCAGAAATCAGTGGAAGTTATATTTTTATAATCTTGGGTGAAATTCAGTCTATATTTGAGGAATGTAAAATTTGAAAGATTAATTTCATGGGTGTAATGTAAGGACTTGAGAGTGAACTGGGAAACATTTATCAGCTCTCTGAGCTAACTGTCAAGCAATTACCAGCTTCTGAGTATTTTAACTTGCAGGCTGTGTACTATAGTTATGCTTTCTTGTAGTTTAATTCTTTCTTTGTATTTATTCTTAAATAGGAAATTAAGATTTGTATTTTTAAATTTTTATGTACTTAATTGTATATTTCCACAGAGGATTAAAACACCTGAAATGCAGGTTTATAGCAGCTGAAGTAGAGATATATTGTGTTGCACGTGCATCTAGCTCCTACCACAACAGAGTACAGTTAATGATGCAGACTCAGAAAAGGTGACATGACAATCATAACAATAAATATACATAACAGCAACCCCCATATTTTATTCAACTAGACTTTATAATACTTTATGAGCTGGTTTTCCCACTGTCTTGTGTTCAGAGTCATTACTTCAGTTAAGGTGGACACATTCTATACTTTATACCTGATTTTCTGTTGCTTGCCATTATTTTAAATGTTTTTTCTACTTCCTTAGAGATTACAACCTATGGAATAATAAAAAATAGGATTCAAGGTGCCTCTTGACTAATCAGACAAAGAAGTTGAATTCTAAGTATATAAGGATTTTTTTAGTTCCGTGTGGCCAAGAAGTCTTATTAATTCAGCAGGTTTTGTCTTTTTATTATCCATGTAAATTATTAAATATACCATCCTCATATTTTTCAGAAATACAGCTCTTTGGCTAATTATAGGCAAGGACAATTTTTGAAGAAAGGAAAACTTTAAAAGCACTTCAAATATTTAAAAGTATATGAAAAAGCAGAGAATGATCCTGAAATCTTGTGCATGATTTTGCTTTAAAACAGCCATAGGGTTATTAAAATAAGCACCAAAATATTCCCTAAATATTTAAAGTCAGTTCTCATAAATATCTTCTTTGTAAGTCCTGAATGCATATTTTTTATATTCAGAGAAGTGAGCAGTCATCTGGAAGACACTTTTCAAAAGTTTGGGGTGTTACCCTCCCTAGCAAATCAAAAGATTTTTTCTTCTGTACTGTATGTTAGAAATTCCCAATCTGTATGTGCGTAAAAGAAATTTTAATAATTAACTAACTAGCTAGTATTCAGAATGAGATGGTCTTGTCTGTTTAAAATTCTGCTTTTGTCTAGATTGTTCACAACAAAACAGAAATGTATTTAAGATCTGATCTTCACTCTGACAGTCTAATATGTCTGCTACCGTACATACACATGCCCATTGGTAGAATACATGCAAAATAAGCATTCTAGGGGATTAAAAACCCCCTTAAGGGAATTAAATCCCCTTTATATCATGCCTGCAAGTAAAACATAAATGTGCATAGATTACTGAGATCCTTGTAAATTTGAAATTTGTAAAGTATTCATTTTAGGTAGTGCTTGTTGTATAGTATAGCTTTCAGATACGTTTATTTTTTGTCTGTTATCTTCTTGTGGTTTAAAAAAAAAAAAATCAAAAAGCCCCAAACCAAGGTCAACCCTAAAGGTGACTCCATCAGCCTTCCCATTCTTACATGTTCTTGTATTTTGTCTTGTTTTGTTGGATTTCGTAAATATATTTTATACTTAAAGGCTCCCCCAAAACACCTTAAAGGTGACAGAGCTTGGCTATGAGGTCTGCTGGGCACCTGCCTACTTGGCACCCCTCTAAACCATCACTTGTGCTTAATTCACCTTAAAAAGATAGTGCTCTGTCCTGTGCCACTTCTCTTTGCTGGACTTTCTCTTTCATTCAGCGCTGTTGTGTATCTTGGAGAGGACTGTTGTGCTGTGTCGGTTGGATAGGGCAATGTATCATCCCCTAACACCCCTGGCATTTGAGGATTAGCTGATCCATCCGAGGATGCTCAGGGTGGGTGTTGAAAAAATGAAGTGGATCCACGCACTCAGACTCTCCCTCTGCTGTCATGAGCTGGTTGCTTGGCTACCGTCAGAAAGAGCCGGTGACGGAGGGATTTTACATGCTGTCTTTTTACACACACACACACACACACACAGAGAAAAATTGTGGAAAGAGATACCATTGTCAGTGCAGTATAGGTAATGGCAATATTCAGTGTCAGCAGTCTGGGGCTCAAGTGTTGGATCCATGCTACATCACCAGTGGGTGGCAAGTTTTGATTACCTTATATAAGGTAAGCACTTACTTTTCTACTGCTGTTTGTGAAACAGCAAAAAGGGAAAAATATTCCCTTTAAGATTAAATTCATATTGCCAAGACTCCAGACAGCTAGGAGACTCTCCAGAACAGATAAATATTGTTTTAGTAGCGTTTAGTAGGAAAGAATCGAATAAAAAAATAAATGCTTCTTAGAATATCTTGCGCATTGAAACTCCAGCTTTATTTATTAACCTTCTGTTTGTTGATTAAAAAATAATTATATGTCATTGAGCCAAAAATCAGAGTGTATAAAATATGTGCATTTTATGTTAAACAATATCTTCTGGTCCACAGTAGCAAAAAGAATATAAGACAGTTGCAGCGCAACAAATCAAACACAAATAAACAAATCTATACTGCACTTCATCTTACAGGACCTGTATCGCCCACTCTCTTCGGATGATATGGATTCAGTAGGAGACTCAGTGTAAAAGAGAAAATGGAACAATGTTTATGGTTTGTGATTTGGTGAAGGTTTAACATTTTTAAAGAGAATAGCTGCTAATTTACAGTAATAGTGAATCACACAAAAGAGTTTTGCATATTTAATATTGAAAACATGGGGCCAAATTAATTCTAGGTTGGAGGGGTATTTTTGGCTTTGCCACTGCATTTTAATGCAAGAATTTGTAATGAGCGGGCCATTGAATATGTCCATCAAATAGAAAACAGCATTGTGCACACTTTAAGGAACGAAGATTGGGTTAGGTGAATATAACGCACAAATCCATAGTGGGCACGTTTATGAATAGCACTCTTTTTATCATCTAAGGTGCTGATTATATGTTCTGTTTTTACCATAGGTATCTTTATTCATTTTGGTATGAACAGTTAATGAATACTTTGCTTTTGCCAATGAATAGGTGAAATGCAGAAAAGAAAAAGCCTGCCCCATTAAACTGCTTGCAGCATGCTGTCTGATCCCAACATGCACATTCTGAACACTCTAAATTTAGTCTTTTTATCTAAATGAAAAGAAAATGAAGAAATCCCATGCAGTCACAGGACAAAAAGTAAATTCTTTCAAAGCAGTGTTCAAGTTCTGTTCAGTGCATTACCATCTGATGACTGTAAACAGAAGGGTATTCACAGGCAACGTGAATGTTTTACCTGGCAAGAGCTGTTAATACTGATCATCCGTGTGTTGCAAGTAAATATGGACAGATTTCTAACAAAGGAAAAATGGGGGCCTGCTGGCTAGCAGTGTCATCTGACACACATATGATGACACCTTTTGGAAAAACACATTTTGCCTGAGAAACTAGTGATTATTTTCACTTATGGTAAGGACAGGAGCATCATTTTTTATTTGCTGTAACAAGACATTTTATGCATTTTAAAATGAAAGCCTGCAAAAATTGTAGAACTGTAAATCATCCTTCTATTGACCTAATTTCTCTGTTTTCGTAATTTCTAGAGGTGATCGTTTTGTACAGCATGAATATGCAAAACTCCTTTAGTGTTAAAGTAGGTCACGCATTATAACCAGTTGCTTAACAAATAGCTACTAATTTTATTTGTTTTCTGCTGCTTTGTTGTGAGAATCTTAGTCTAATTTACATAATAGCAATATTTCTCATCGTATGTTGCATATTGCTTTAAAATTTATCTGCTGTATTTAAGCCCGTAATGTAGTGAGCACACGCTTTTACAGTCTTATACCTTTCCTTTCAGTATCCCATACACTAATGATTTAAGAATTAAAAATCGGTGCGATTCTGATCTTCAACAAAAATCTGTGGAGATTATATTTTTGAGTAATGATTGAATATATTCTGAAAACAGGAGATTTTACTTAATAGCAGAAAATGTTCAGCTGCCACATACCAACTTTTAAATGTAGCGAAATAATTCCTTCACACTGATCTGTCCATAATAAAATTCAGCACCTGGAAAAGGTTGGCATGTGATGTTACGGCTTCCCTGGATCATTAACATTTTCTTTATGGAGGATATTTGCAAAGAGAACAAAAGGGCAGCAGAATACAAAACTTACCTTCTCTGTTTTCAATACTTGGTTCCAGTATCACCTGGAGAGAAAGTCATTGATCTGGCAGGTTTGCTGAAGCAGTTAGGTCGTTCCCCTTTGAAATACATGTTTTGCCATTCTTGCTTCAGACTTCAGATCTAAAAATGTTCCCGACAATAGGAACAGTCCTCCCCCCATGCCCTGATCCTAAGGCTGTCCTGTTCTACTGAAAAGGTTTGCAGCTGTGAAGTTACTTGCGTTTTTGCTAGTTATGGGGGAATGTCTTTGTAAAATTCATTACTTTATCCCAAGCAATTTGTATTACGAAAAGGCGCATTGGGATCAGTTTCCAGAAATTCAGACGACTCCACCAGACTGAACAAAATACTTACTGGCATTTTGAAAAGCGTTTTTTCCTGTAAAGAAAATACATTCCAGGAATTTATTTTTCCTCCCCTCTCCCATATCGGCTACTGCTGCTTTAGGCAGTTTATTAGGAATGTTTGTTCTGCACAGGGAGCACAGATCGCCAGCAAACCTGAATCCCACAGCTTCGCTTAGCTGTGGAAAAGAAAAATGGACCTTATATCAGTAATTGTTATCATAGCAAGTTCTCCATCAAGACTGTTTCAAAGAATATGCTAGTCCATAACATTTAATCATTTCAACATATGACTTGTATTAAGGGGCTATTCAGGGGCAATATGTATCATTAATATTTCATTTAAGGAAGGAAAGTCCCATAGCGATTGAAAAGGTACACTGTTTATAGACTTTGGGATCCCTTTTGTGTGGAATGTAATTCCCATTATACATGAGCAGAAATGAAATGTTTCTTTTGAGCAAGACCAGAAGGTTCCAGTTTATGGGTGAAACTGAAATTGTGTTTCTTGATGCTGTAGTTGTGCTTGCGACAGCACAAGTTTTAGTTTGTCCCTAGATTTCATCAACTTCATTAAATAAGGTAATAGCTTAAGCAACTTTATAGTGTTTGAACCTCTTATAGTTCGCTGTATGCTGCATTATTTGTGCCTACTCTAAGGTGATTATGATGTAGCTGAAGAGTCTTGTATAGATTGTAAGTGCTTTGCTTTCTTTTGAGCTTTATGAGTCCTTGTGATTATTTCCCTAATGCTTTCTGCAACTTTCTGGGGGTTTTCTTAATCTATTTTTTCCCTCTCTTATGCAACAAACCGTTCACATGTGAAGCACAGAATGTGTGTGTTTATATTTATACACACATACACATACATAGGTTAATGGCTTTGAAACCCATGTACAGTTATGTCACATTTGTGGCTTTAAACAAATACATGGGGAAAATATATCGATGGGAGGATGTTCATCTGGTGGGGTTCACTATAGCTCTGTTAAGGTCAGTGAAGCTGCACCAACCTGTACTTGCTGAGCAGCTCCCATGAGGAAGTCTCTACAATTTTAAGAGATCTCATATACAAACAAGGGCTAAGTTCTGCTCAGTCTGAAGTTAGTAACAAAACCATGATTGACTTCAGGGTGGGAAGGAGAGGACATTATGCACAAAGTTATATACACAGTCAAAACATTAATCATAAATTTGAAATGGTATTATTTTGATGTATTCAGACTTGTGTCTCCTCTTGAAATGCACTGCTCTGCAGTGTATTAAGTTGTTTTGTTGAAATCAATAAAATCTTTACCATTCATTATCCAATGTGAAAATTGCTTTTCAATTTGTAAAATAATTCAGTGACAGCACATTACATTTCGTTATTTTTCTCTTTAAACCATTTTCACAGGGCATATATGGCTGTCAAATGAAAATTCTGGGACATTAATATTGTGGCTATAAATGTATATTATAAGGAAGGATACATAATGTTAAACAGCCTTGAAGAACATGTGGGTTGAGATTGTGTGGCATAACAATTGAAATAAATAACAGTGTTTGATTTTACAGTTTCATACTTCACACTGCAGTGTGAACTTTATGTATTGCAGTATGTTACAAAAAATGTCCTCCAACTCTGTTAAAGTGAATTAAGAGTAATACGGAAAAGAACCTCTGATCAACCCAAGTTTACTGGTTTGTCAGAAACAGTAGAGAAATGAACAAAGAGAAAATCTTTGTGGTGCTAAATTACCTCGTCACTTGATGAAAACTTAGATTAATGTTGTCTGTGCTTTTTCTTGTATCCAGTTAATGGCATACAACTGAATACAAGATTGTTCTTAATTTCATCTTCACTTTCAGTTTATCTGTTAGTGATGGGATGAGAACTTGTAACTGTGAGTGATCAGCGAAAAATAACCTTACAGCATGCAGCCAGCCGTAGCTTTGCATGCAGAGCAAAGCAAGCAAGTGGGGGTCACACTCTTTGGAAACGGGTGTGCTACCCCCCAGGAAGCGCCTCCCTTCGGAGAGCAGGGCTTGCCGAGCAGAGCAGAGGCTAGTCTGAGCTGTATTTGCTGTTGCACCGCCTTTCGACTGGCTTGGTTTGCTTCTTTGCCCTTGCACCTGATCTCGGACTGGCTGAGCGCCCTCTCTCCCCGCGGGAAGCGGGGGTGTGCAGATCCGCGTGTTGTGTGCGCACACGCCAGCGGAGGGAGGGACACACACACGGTGCGCACATCCACGCTGCCTGCATTTTAGTGTCTCTGGCTGCGCATGCTGATCGTGTTCAAATTTGCTTAAGTCAACCCTCAGCAGTGAAGTATGAAAAAAGCTGTACTGCATTCGGTGTGTACTTGTTGTCTGATGTTAGATGAGGTAATTAGCTTGTGGTTTGCCCTGCAATACAGTGTTTTGGAATTTGGGCTCTAGTGAAAGAGGAGCTAACAATGTTTGTGCTAAGGCCTCTTCGTTTTGTTAGTTGCACTATGATATTGTAAATACTGGCACATTTACAACATAAGTTTAAGATTTTACAAAGTTATGCGTACAATTATTTTTTTTAAAGAAAAGCTCTTGGATATTTGCTTTTTAAAATATACCATTTTTCTATTGGTGTGATGCAAGAAACCAAAAATAAAGCTGTTGATTTATCAACAAAAAATGTAAAACTTGCAAAAATAAATGCCAATGAATGTTTTTTTCATATAGTCAACTGAAGAAAACCACCTTCGTTTTTGTGCCATTGTTTCATCATACTGTGTTGTGTTTCATATTTGACCATGTCATCCTGGTTGCAATTTGTTGTTTTGCTAGATTTAACATTACTGTCGAATATTGTAAGTGATGTAATAAATATATTTTAAAAATGCACGCTGTTCAGTGAGTTTATTTTGGAAACGTGATTAACAGGCTTTAAAAAAATACTTGCAGGTGGTATTGCTTGTTCATTTTGGATCAGCATTGTCCGCCCAACAGTTCACTCGAGTATAAGGATATGGGATTCATGCATCCTAATGGGTTTCTTTAAATAGTAGATGCACTCAGTGCCTTTTAAATTAATAAACTCTGAGGTCTAGCATGTAGATGCAAAAGATCCTTCAAGGAAGAATTTGGTTTCTAACAGGTCTTTTGAAGACAGTAAATATACCTGCCTTGAACTGCTTGTGGGTAAGTTTGTGTGCACATGACGGGATAGAGTGGAAGTACGAACTGGGAAGGCAGTAAACCATCCAAAGCAAGGTACCTGCTCCCTGCTGACAGCTCAGCTACAGCACCACTCCTCTTAAGGCAAGTTGAAGGAGAATACACCTGTGAAAAGCTAAGAGTACTGAAACATACCCACGATGTTTTAAAATAAGTACCTTATTTCCTTGATATGTCTTTCCGCTCTTTAAAAATACATACCTGTAGCCTAATTTTATTTTTTGTTTGGCAAGGGCGGGGGAAGAGAGATGTTACAACTTCTGACATGTCATCTGCCAGTCGGATGCTTCAGCTGATGTTCAGACACTCTCCTAGAGGGATCTGTGGACCTGATAAAAGTTCTAGTTTTGAAACCTTTTTGGTTACTAGTAAATAGATCAGCCTCAAAAAAGGTGTACAGGCATGGAAAGGAAGCGGTACTATAAAAATGAGGAAGAGTAGAAACAAAATAATTGATTTTTCTGTCTCTACCAAGTAACAGTTAAGAATACCAGGAGAGCTTTTAAAACACAACTCAGATAGATTAAAAATAAAAGTGGTGATTTTGCTGTGCCCTTAATCAGGTGAAAGAAATAAGAACCTCCTCTGATGTCCTTTCAATTTTTATTCTGTAGTTGAGTGGAAAATTCTACCTGTATATAACTTTAGAGAAGGAAAAGGAAACGTTCACGTTGCATCACTGCACATGTAACTTTTTACGTTAACCGCTGTATGGATACAGTAATGACAGGTCAATTTCCGATACTGGGAATCTGATACTTTTTTTTTTGGATCATTAGTCTTTTCTGAAGGAGGCCAAAGGTTGAGTGAGCCTACAGTCTGCAATATGACTCAGCTTTCAAAGCAGCTGTTAGGAGCTAGCAGGGGTTACATTTAAGTTTACTGTTAAATACCACATAGGAAACTGTGTTGGTCTTTCAGAATTGCCTTGTTACACAAATCAGATGAGTGTATAAGCACTTGATGCTGCTGCTTATTAAGAGGATTCTAATAAGACAAAGCGCTTCAGCTTGAAAATTCAACTTCAGTCTGTCAGCTCCATTTCCTTGCAAACTCTCCCATTTGTCCCTCTATCCCTCAAAGGAGAAAACCAGCAAAAGTTCCTGAGTGACACACGCCAGATTCTTGCTTGTGTCGTTTGATCCTATCTCTTCTCCAAGCTGTCTAAATCCTGAATTTCATAAATAAACAAAAAATATCATTTCCCTATGTAGGGTCTCTCTTAAGTCAGGTGCCTAACAAGACAGGGCAGGATGTACAACTGTGGATAAATAGCAGGTTTACATACATTTCTTATTGTTTCTTGCCAGGTGAAGCAGTTTATAAATAAATTTGGATCTTATGTGTCAGTTCAGTGCAGTGTCCGAATTTAAAAAGAAAACAATTGGATCGTTTCTCTTTCTATACATTGAATTCCACTGGTTTCCATTCCTTTGGCATGAAGATTGTGGATTTGATGTTTCTTCATGAAGTAGTTTTTTGCCAGCTCTTTACATGAAAACTTTTTTCCATGTCTCAGCTGGCTGAGCTGAGAAATGTAAGCAATTAAACAAAGAAAATCAAAAGCATTTTTCTTTGGTTGGATTCAGGAGAGGTAGTTTCAGTGTAACCTTCTGCTTCTCTTCTGATTGAATAACCAAAAAAAAAGAGTTTGTCTTCATAAAAGGTGCATCAAAATACATTATTTTACTGTTTTAATCCAGCTGTCCGCTACTTTACCCTTTGTTCTCTGGAGATGTACCATTTTGTTGTATTGATTTGCTTAACACTGTTATGTATTACAGGAATTTTTTGAGCCCTTCAAAGCTCATGCTTGCACTGAACTGTTGTCTTTATTTTCCCATTAACCGTGATGATCTTTAGGCTAAGGAACTGACTATGTCAGGAATTCATGACAGCTATCTTGCAAAGGTTATTTATAACCAGACTGAACACTGGTATGAGCTCGAAAAGAGGCGAACATGGTTGCTTAACTGTTTAGTTTTGGTTTTAATGCTAATTATCCTTGCTGAGTTGAACTTCACCTTACACATATTACTGACACACATAGCTTTTTGAATGTTTTTTAAATTCTGTAGAATTCTTTGGTATATGGAAAGTCTTCGGAGGCATCATTTGAAGATACTAGTAATTCCCTTCTCCTAAGCCTCCTTCCTGAATTTACAATTTGTTTACTAATTTTAACCTTCACTTCATTAAGCCCATTTCTAAAAGAGCAGAACTCTGCATGAGATCCAAACATAGCATTACACCTGTGTGCATTTCTGTTACTCACATTTCATCCAGATGCTTCCTTCGTGCTAGGAAAATACAAAGGAATCTATTGTTGAGAGACTTTGTAGACTCCATATGCGCTAATAAAGGTTTTGAGAGGTTTGGAAAATATAACACAGTGCTTGGGGTTTAAGATTCAGGAATCTGAATTGCATTAACAAACTTCCTAGTCATACTTGCTTAAGTTTCTTTTTGTAACTGCTGGTACTGGTAGTCCACAAGAATAATTCCTGCTGTTTAGTTGGAGTGGGATTTTAAGATTGATTTAGGACAAAGGTGAGTATTGGGAGAGAGAGATTACAGTAATATTTATTTTACTGCGCTTTTTTTTTTCGTGGATTTAGCACAATTTCCACTGAGATACAAACTATTTACAAAACAGTTGCTAAATAAATCTCCCAGCGAGACATGGATGAAACTCTATAGCACTAATGTTTCCATTCACATCAAGGAGATGTGTGGTGTGCTGACCATCTGTTATATAAACCTGAATAGGATCTGAAATCCTTACACCAAAGACCTGATTTTTTTATGCCATCGCTTTTATGGAGGTGTGCCATAAAAATGGCCATGTGCTGGCAACCTGTTCAACTGGACCCCTTTAAATCTGTGTAAAAGTGATGACATTTCGAGCACCTCAGCATCTCTTAAAATTAAAACAGCTAATTGCATTAAGGTCTGTGTGTTGAAGAGATTATACTCTTGCTTAGAGTTTGTTTTTCCCCCCTCCCCATCTGCAATATCCCTGATGGGGTCCACAGCTGTGAGAGGAACAGTGTGCACGACAGACTGCCTCACGATTGGCAAGCCAACTGGAAAGAACACTGAGCCCCACAAGGATTCCTGGACCCGGAGGGCTTTCAGCGTGTGAGAGCAACGAGCTAATTAAAGTCTAAATAAATGGAATGTCCTTCTAGCTGAAGTAAAGATAAATAAATAAATGTGTGTTGTTCCAGAGGACTGAATAAAAATTAAAATATTTGTGTCATGTTTACCTAGTAACGTCTCTTCGGTTGTGAAAGGGATCCGTCAGCAGACTCGGTGAATATGTGCAAATGTACATTTCCTGATTTCTTGTTCATCTGTTGTTTTAATAGGAGGGGTTCAGCAAAGGCAACGAAAAGTATGTCCTTTCTTTGTATTTTCCAATTTGTTCAATAATTTTTAAGTTTTAAAAATCTCAAGTACGTATTTTTAGCAAGTGTCTCCTCAGCTACTGCTTCCTTGTCCCTGGTGAGCTCTGCTTCTGCTCACACGCTGGTGCTTCGCACGCAGGTCTCACTGAATGGGCTGGGTGCTTTGTTTGCAGACCTGTGGCACACTATATGCTGCTAATACGTCACTTTAGTTCTTCAGTTATGAAAATCATCTTAACCTTTCCCATCCTTACGTAGTGTCAGTAAGAAAAGAAATAGGGGCACTTAAAAAATCAGTCTCATATTGATGTTCTGTTTCCTTTACATTTTCTGCCGGCCACTTTTTTTAAAGTGTGTTTAACTAAACCTAGGCTAAATACATATTTAGGGAGCTATACCTAAGGCAAATATTTAGGAGTGAGTTTAATTTCAGTCATGTGTAAGTCATTAAGGCTATTTGTATTTAAAGTGAAGCACTTGCTGAAGCACTTTGCTGAAATGGGCCCTCAAAGGGCTCTAATATTGAGCAGTCTGAGCAGTCACTGTTCTCAGCTAAGCCTCATCTTGAGGTTCCTTGAGAAATTAGGTTCCTGAATAGAAATATGACTCTCTCTAGGCACCCATTTTGAGGAGATGTGGCCATCAAGTTAGGACTCGGTTTTCATGTCTCCCATTCTCACAAATGAGAACAACGAGTGTGAGACTCCGTAGAGACCGTCAGACTGCTGAGGAAAACTGCAGCGGTGTGCAGTCAGCAGTCTGGACCTAACATCTGTTGAAAAGTGTAATCTCACTATTTCAAGTACAAAAAAACTAAATAAAGTAGTTGTTTAATAATCTATTGAAAATCTAGCACTAACTTTTTTTTGTGTTGTACCCCTTACATTTTATAAAGATTAATTCCTGGTTGTAGATGTAACAAATATTTAACATATTTAAATTGTAATTCCTTTAAGAAAATACTGTGGAGTGGGAAAAGAAGTAAGACATTGGATGCCTGGTCTAGGAAAACAAACAGACGCAGCAGAATGGGTAGAGAAAACATGTTTTCTGCTTATTTTACAAGCAGGAGTGTAAAGGAAACAATTCTCTTATTACATGTGTATAAAAATAGGCTTTGAGGGTGACTTCTCCAGGCATGAGAACTCCTAGCATTTTCCTGTTACCTTGATCCTCATCTGCTCATTTGTTCAAAAATAAACCAGAGGTAAGTTTTTACTGAGACATCCCACAGAGTTTAGCACAGGAATCACACAC